TTTTTTGGTGCTAGGAATTGAACCCAGGGGGTCTCTACTACTGAGCTACACCCCCAGCCCTTATTATATTTTTATTTTGAGACTGGGTCTCACTAAATTACCCACGCTGGCCTTGAACCTGCAGTCCCCCTGCTCAGCCTCACCAAGCCACTGGATGACAGGTGGCCCCCACTCCTGCTGAGAGACAAAATACTGCTCCCAACAGACTCCTTCCTAAGAGGGGGCCGTCAGGCATCCAGGAGCCTCCTGACACGTTGCAGAGCAATGCTCTGCTGATCTGTCTGCCGCCATGGCCTGGCTGGCAAGCGCTGCAGAGCCGGACTGCGCGGAGACAGACAGAATGCCCCACCACCGTCAGAACACAGCAGAAAAGGACCTGTGCCAGCCCACGTGAGCCTGGGTTTGGGTCTGTTCGTTTTTCCATTGCTGTTGTTCTGGGTTGGCTTTGGTCTGGCTGCTGGGATGGACCCCAGGGTCACATGCATGCCAACCCACCCCACAACGCTGTTCTTCCCCTTTCTCAGGACCACCACTGGGCCCCAGAGAACACTGGGGGCCTGACACATTTAAGAAAACAACAACCATCTCAGACAATATTCTAACAGATGGGACAAAGTGACTCTGAGTCCCAATTCATAAGAAAATACAGAGAGGCAGGTGTTCAGAAAACCCAGCTTGCAGGGACGGCTCCGTGGTCAAGCGCATGCCTAGCACCGTGAGGCCATGGGTTCACCAGCACCAACAAACACTACACAACGCATGCTTTACACCAGCAAGACGCACACCATGTGACACTACAGTGAACTGGTTTCTCCACCAAATTGCAAGGAAAAAAAAGGCCAGGATAAAAGAGAACCTGGGAAGAAAAGCTACGCAGGACCCGCACAGCCAGCTGCAGCAGCCTGTGTCACACGACCCCGATCACAGCAAGACGCCAACACTCACAGAAACCTGAACATCGACCATCAGTCTGAGGAGTGGAGAATGAGCTGTGATGGCAGGAGCTCTCTGATTTTCCAAGTCTCCCCCTTGGAGAAATATATGCTAAGATATTCGCGGATGGAAAAAAATGCTCAACTTGGACTCAATAAAGCTGTGGCTGACCTTCAGGTACAGGGAAGACGAAGGACACAGTGTGGAGGACAGACCCTGGTGGGCTGGGAGAGGCCCTGAGGAGACATGGCTGCAAGGCTCCCCAGGCTGACCAAGTCACTTTAAGAGGCATTTAAGAGAAGAGTCACATCGGGCAGTACGGAGGCATTAATGTCGATGGTTTCAGAGGGTTGTGTGAGGTTTGCGGGGAATCACCGTCATGGGAGCGGGAAGACACACAGCAAGAGGGCTGGACGCACAGAGAACCAGCGGCCACTCTGTGACAGGGGCTCCACCTGGCATGAGGGCTCCTCTCTACGTCCCACTTCTGTGAGTTTCACATTGTCATCACAGACACTTGAAAGGCTTCTTTGCTGGCATCCCACTCAGGGAGCAGTGGGAACACAGAGGTGACAGATTCTCGCTCTCTGGTGAGGACAGCGACTGTGACCGGGGTGTCTCAAGTCTCTCCCAGGCTTCCACGGGTGGCCTGGGTGGTGCTTCCGAACCTGCTCGCTGCCAGCACCACTGTCCACCACACAGGCCGCCTCCTTCCTTTGGCACTTTTGTTTTTTAAGGAAGTGGTATCATTACTTGGATCCTTGGAAAATTAACATCACTGGCCATAGGGGTACCTAAAAACAGTGTCACGCTCAGCCCTCTGTATCTGTTTCTGCCATTCAACCAAACCCAGCAGAAAATATCTGAAAAACCGCGTCTCTCATCAGTGTGGTCTTTCTTCGTTGTTATTCCCTAACAACACGACACAACGCGACAACCACTGACAGGGCACAGACACGGTACTAGGTGTTGGTAAGTTCCCTGCAGATGTTTAAAGTCCACAGAAGGGGACTAGGGGTGTATCTCAGGGATAGAGCACTTGCCTAGAAGGCATGGAGCCACGGGTTCCATCCCTGGCACCCCCCAAAATGAAACAAATGTAAGCGCCTACAGAAGAGTGAGCTCAGGCTCTGTGCACACTCCGCCCTTTAATAAGGGTCTTGAGCATCTTTCCATTTTTGGCCTCTTCAGTGAGTCCTGGAACCAATGTGGATGCCAAGGGGCGGCTGAACTGTCATGTGTTCAACTATTAGTTCAACCTCCAACCCAAGTAGTACCAGGAAGCGCGCTGCCCTGGCCTGGGCATCCCCACTTCACAGGACAGGTGTGGCCCCTGATCTTCAGATGCCCGTGCGCAGACGCAGAGACACCGCGCAGCCGCGCAGGGTGCCGCACAACAGTGAGCTCTGTGGTCCTGGTCAGCAGATGAGGAACGGCAGGGAAGGGCGTCTGGGAGAGCTCAGTTTGGCGGGCGCAGGTGGTAGCCCCCCTTGAGAGAGGACATGGAGAGTGAGTGGCCCATGCTGGACAAGTCCGAGTGAATTTCTTCTGGTTAATTTTACATGTCAACTTGGATCTTACCAAAGGACCTGTATGGACACCAGGTCAGGTGCCCTGTGGCATGGAGAGATCGTTTCAATAGTGTTTACAACTGAATAAGCTGGAAAGAGAAACCCCGTGGCAGGCTGGCGGTCTCCAGGTGTTTCTGGGATTTGTGAAATTCCACTTAAACCCCTTCAAAGAAATCCTGGCACTTTGATGGAATCAAAGGTCACCGGAGGCTGGGTCAGCTGTCCCCATGGGTGGGTGGGGCCGTGCCCTTTGTTCACACCTCCACGGCAGTAGTCATGTTGGGCTCACTGTGATGAAGTGACAGGCTATTAATGGCTCCCTTTCTTTCCTGGACACAAGAGCTCACAGAGGGCAAAGGCCCAGCTGATTCATTTCTTGGTGTGCCTCAGCCCCCACCCAGCACCAAGTCTAAAGCAGGTGTCCTGTGACAATGCCAGCTACATGTATCCCACAAGTGTGCAGAGCCTCAGGACAGAAGCTGCGACACCCAAGCCTCGAGTCCCGTGGTCCATCGTGGGCCATCCGGACTGCACAGCCTTACCCATTTTGTTTTTTTGGGAATCCAGGCCCAACACTTAAAAATGGGGGAGCTTCCACACCAGCTTCTCTGGAAAATTGACTGACTTGGCAACTCGGGGGCCTGCACGTCCCCATGGCAACAGCAGTGTGAACGCTTTCTGAGCTTCTGCAGAGCCCAGCGCTATTCTCAACACTCTGTGTGGATGAATTCATCTTCTGGAACGTTCCACGTGCTCACACCATTATTATTCTGACTTTTCACAAGGGATCCAGGGCTTGTCCAGGGTCACACAGTTTAGGTGCTGGAGGCAGGGTGGAAGCCCAGGCAGTCCCAGTCCCAAGGACCCTGTTTAACCCTCCCCAAATGCAAAGCCCACCAGGAGGAGTACAGACCCTACTCCTTCTTTATGGACTGTCTGGGAGCTAAACCCAGCACACCTCATGAGGCAGACAGTTTACCCCCCAATTGCCAGGGGCAGGGCAGCAAGATACTGCAGTGGCTGCCTCTCTTCACTCAAAGAGCTCACCAGTTCCTCACCCAGGTTCATCCCCTCCCATCTGCATCCAGTGCAGCCTCACCTGAGGTGGGAAGGGACAGTCTTACACACACACACACACACACCGTGGGGGGGGCACTCACGATGCGCTCAAACTCCTTGGCCTGCTTCAGCTCCCGGGGAAAGCCATCAATGAGGAAGCCCCGGCTCTCTGGGTGGGACAACATATTCTTGCTGATCATGTCTAGGATGAGGCCCTGGGAAGAAAGTGGGAGAAGTCAGTGCTTGGGCCCCAGTTTCTACAATGGTCATTCCTTAGATGGGACTTTAGGTTTAGGTGAGGATGGGGAACACAATGTTCCACACTGCCCTGGGTTTTCTTTTCTTACTTCCCTCCCCCACCAACCCCCCCAGCCCTGTGCTGGAAATGGAACCCAGGGCCTTGCATATGCTAGGCAAGTGCTCTGCCACTGAGCCACACCCCCAGAACTAAACTGCTAGGGTTTTCTTTATTTTGCTTTTGCTTTTTTGAGAGAGGGTCTTGTACCCTGAATTCCAAGTCAGCTCTGATCCCGGGGGAAAGAGTTTTCATTCTTCCCTTTTTACTTTTTGCAGTAATAGGACTTGACGCAGGGCCTCACACACGCCAGGCAGGTGCTGTATCACTGAGCCACACCCCCAGCCCAGGGGAACGGGGTCTGAGGACTGGGCACGTCAACCATGTGCTGGGTGAGTGTCTGCCAGGGGTAGGCTGCCATTTAATCTTTACTATGATGCTATATGGTAGGTGCCAGGATTACTTTTCTTTTACTGTTTATGAAACACTTTCATAAGAGGCCAGTGACAGGGGGTTACAAAGAGAATAAACATTGTGGTCCTTTAGTACACAAAGGGAATTGGTTCCAGGGCCTCCACAGACACCAAAACCCAAGAATGCCCCAGCCCCTTGTGCAAAATGGTATAGCATTTGCACAGAGCTCAAGCACAGCCTACTGTAGACCTGAGGTCATGTCTAGACACACCAGGTGAAGACTGAGAGAACAGCTGGTAAGACAGTGTTGTTTAGGGAACGCTGACACGAAAAAAAGGCCTACTTATCTTCAGCAACTTCTTCCTGAATATTTTTGATCTACAGTTGTTGGAAACTATAGATGTGGAGTCTGCTGTCACAGCTGATTTTATTAAGTGATTCTTAGGTACCAGGCACACTTCCCAACACTTTATAGGAATGATCTCTTCCCTACTCACCACGACATTTTTGGGGGTGCTGCTGGGGAGCGAGCCCAGGATCTTGTACATGCTCAGCACACTCTCTACCACTGAGATATACCCCAGGCCTTGACACAGTTGTTGATGTAGTCTCCCCATTTCCCAGATAGGAGGCTCAGCATAGCAAACCAGTGGCCCAGGCGGGAGCCACAGCCTTCCCAGAGTTTGCCCTGATGTCCACCCCCACCTCCTCTGCCCATGAGCTCTCACCGAGGGTACCAGAAGTCCCTGCAGCATCATGTCACGGATCTGTCGGCCCCGATGGGTGCTTTTCTGGGCCTCCTGCCGCAGCAGCTGACCCAGCCCCACATGGCAGAAGCCATACTTAGTGGCCATGTTCTTGCACTGTGTCTCTTTGCCACAGCCTGGGCCACCCACCACAAAGATGATCAAGGAAGACTTGAGGATGTCTGTGGTGCCCAGGAGGAGGAGGAGCAACATGGTGAGTGCCTGCACAGGCAAGGCCTTGGGTGCACGGCATCTTGGGGAAGCGTTCCATTTTTACAATTGAGGAAACTGAGGCTCAGAGAGGGGCAGGAATTCACATATGCCTTCAGACTCGTGCCATGCTGTGTGCCTAGTGTCCTTGTTTTTGTTCCTGAACTTGCCAAATTCATTTCTCCTTTCTGTTCCCTCCACCAGGAAAATCTCTGCCTATCTCAATTTCTTCTGGTCATAGCGCAATCATCAGGTCTTCCCTGATGCCTGTCTAAAGAGACTTCTCTGTCTTAGAAACCCAGTCATGTACTTGGTTTTGTGTCCCTAGCCAGCCTCTGTACTCCAGGAGGGCAAGGGCCGATTCTGTCTCACCCATACCTACCTACGCTCCCACCAATTGTCATGGTTCCTGGCATCTAGTAGTGGATGGGGAATAAATGAATGTCCAGTCAGTGGTTTATGGTTCATTTTTGTGTCTTGCTTCCCTACCCCTTTGCTTAGCCAACTCCTATGCATCCCTCAGTGCCCAGTTGAAATTACCCCTTTTCCCTCTGCCCTCAGAGCCTCACAGTGCTTCCCCTGTTGCCTCCTTGGGTGTGTAGATTCCATTTTTCTGAGTATGTCTCTTCTGCTACATTGTAATCTCCAAGGAGACAAAGAACTGGTTTAACCTTGAGGGCCCAGAACTCAGAAGTGGCTCAGTGAGTGGATGACTGGGAAGATGTGCAGCTTTGTTACTGCCGTGCCTGGGAGGGGTGTACACATGGGATGGCGGGGAACCTGCACCTCTCTTCTGCCCTCTAGTCTCCTTTCCTCCCCGCCCCAGTAACCCAGCTACCCCCGCGATATTACCCTTCTCCTGGGGCCTCAACGGCCTGGCCATCTGGGGCAGCTTGGACTTGTACAAACCCATCCTGCCAGCATCCCTTGGGGTTGTCGCACCCCATCCCCACCCACTCGCTGACCCCTCTGGGCTCTGCTCTACGTCACAAGGCCCTCCCTGCCCCCGATTACTTTGCCGGATGCTGGAGATTCCCCTTACACACAGGGGCAGGGGGCGGAAATGAGCCCTCAACAGTCCCAAGCAGAGCCTGGCTGCTGCCTGACCCGACCAGGCGAGCCGTGGTTGCTATGGTGACGCGGCCTCCTGGCCTCCATTTCCGGAGCGCGGGGGCGCATGCGCGAGGCACCCGGGACCCGCGAGACGTTTCCTCCCAGCTTACCCAGGGTGCCCCGCGGCCCCTGGCTGTGACATCACGGAGGGAGGTGTTTCCACACGTCGTGGTTAAATTATCCGCGTCGTACACAAGCACGTCTGCCACCGAAGGCGGCTGATTTGTCTCACAGTGGGCCTGGGTGTGTTGAGTCTGAGATAGGACGGGGAGAGGGAAACACAAATGATAGTTTTGACTGGCCCACAACCCTGGAAGATGGTGCCGTCGGTCAGCAGCGGACTTCCGCTTCCGGCCGGGCTGCGGCGCGTGCGCAAAATGACGTGGGGTTACTTCCGGGTGTTTTTTTTCCCAGGGTCCGCTGCGCTTAGTGCTTGCAGTCTTCGCTATTCTCTCCCGGGATTGGAAGCCTGACACCTAGAGTGCGGCTTGCTCGAGACTAAGGGACGCGGGCCCCGCGGCAGACGAACAGAATCCACATCGGACTGGACCCGACCCACTGACCATGGCGGCCCTGGTGAGTACGAATGAAGCAGGGTTCGGGGGGTCCCGGCGGCGGCCTGGCTGGCGGCCCCTCCTCACTCACCATCCTGCCTCCTCTCCGCAGGGTCCCGGCGCTCCGAATGTCACCGAGTATGTTGTTCGAGTTCCCAAGTAAGTCCCTGGCCCTGCCCACCCCGAAAGAAAAAAAAATTGAAACCTTAGCGAGCTTCCAATCAGCTACTTTGTTCTGTTTGAAACTGGTAAAATCTTTGTACATACTGTCCCCTCTGCCACTAGTGTCCTTCCATACCAGCTGTGATTCCATCCTGTAAAATTCAGTTCCAGCATTTTCCTTCTCCAGGAAGCATTCCCTGCCTGTGCTCCCTCCTCACTAGGCCAAGTTCTCAGTTATCCCCCACATCTTGGGTTCCCCCAAATCTTTGTTATTCCTCATCTTTTTGAGATTGGGAGGAGATGGATCCAGCTTCCATGACAAAGTGGGGATCCTTGGAGTCTTTCATATGTTCTCAGCACTGTGCAGCACAAAGAGCTGAACCAGGGTGGGTTTGCTGAATGACTGATTGAATTAACATTGCCTTTTTTGCCCCCTCCAGGAACACAACCAAAAAATATAACATAATGGCTTTCAATGCAGCCGATAAAGTCAATTTTGCTACATGGAATCAGGTAAGTCCCGTGTTCTGGGAAGTGGTGGGAGATTAGAGAATCTGACCTTAGACTTAAGGATGGTTATGGTTCTTTAGCTGTAATGGTAACTAAGGTGCCAGAGGCAGTGGTACACACCTATAATTCCAGCTACTGCCAAGTCCGAGCCTGGAGAATCATAAGTTTAAGGCCAGCCTGGGAGGCCTTAGTAGGTGTCTCCATTATCAGATCAACTGTTCTGATATCTCAGTGCTTGTGTTCCAGTAACCCTTCTTTTACTAAGAACCCAAAAGCACAAGAGCAGTGATGCTGGAAAGTTGGATATGTCAAAGGCATAAAGTGCCTCTTTTAAATGAAAAGAGGAAAGTACAAGGTATTTTGAGAGAGTCTTACAACTTTCGTTGTAATAGATTATTATCATCGTTCTATTTAATAAGTAGTTGTTGTTGTAAGTCCCCAATTCCCTTTACTCAGATTCATCAGGTGCTAGCTAGCATCCTGTGCTCTTTTTGCCAAGAGGGAAATTGACTTTGTTGGAGTACAGTGTAGTGAGAATTAGGGGTGTTCCTCACAGGAGCACGGTCCAAGCCAAGGTGGGCCCCTGAGAGACTTTTCTTCCTTCCCCTCCAGGCCCGGCTAGAGAGGGACTTGAGTAACAAGAAGATTTACCAGGAGGAGGAGATGCCCGAGTCGGGTGCAGGCAGTGAGTTCAACCGCAAGCTTCGGGAAGAGGCTCGTCGGAAAAAGTACGGCATCATCCTCAAGGAGTTCCGGCCTGAGGACCAGCCCTGGCTCCTACGTGTCAATGGAAAATCAGGCAGAAAGTAAGTGGCAGCGGGGGAAGTGTGCCAACCTAGGGACCACCCCCCACACACTGTGCACTTGTTGGGTGCTCCCTCTGAACCTCAGTTCCCCAGCTGTGTGAGATAACCGGGCCTGCACTTCCTCCCTTATTTTGTTTTTGAACATGAACCAAGTTGGTACTTATGCCTGGTTCTGTGGCAGCCCTGAGGGCCATCAGTGGCACTTGTCTCTTGTGATGACCTTTTGGAAAGGGCATTCTGGGGCAGAACAGGAAGGGTGATGCAGGTTGGCGCAGGCATTCCAGGTAGAACTGGGTTGTGCAGGGTTCTGGGTGCTCAGGGGAGCCTTGAAAAGTTATAGGCTGGGAAAGGACTCAGAACAAGATTGCCTGGATTTGGGATAACAGCAAGTAAGGGTGGAGGCCATGGGCAGTTGTTTGGGCTCAAGGAGATGGTGGCCTGGGTTGAGTGTCCACTTCAGATCTGCTCCAGTCTGGCTTCTTGAGTTCCTGGTCATAGCCCATGCGACAGAGCCATTAAGAGATCGTTGCATAAGCCCAATATTGAACTTGCTCTACTAAGAGGGAGCGCTGTCCCTGCCCTCCAGCTGGGAAAATCGAAGCTGGGTTCGTCTGGGGTTGCCCAGGGCTTGTCATGGGCTTTCCCCAGGGAACCCAGGCAGGTGCTACAGAGGAGGCACACAGGGAGGCATGTGCAGGCCGCAGGCAGGTCCTGTGCACCTGTTTCATGGGCCAGGCCATGACCTGACTGTGGCTCCCTGCAGGTTCAAGGGCATAAAGAAGGGAGGAGTGACGGAGAACACGTCCTACTACATCTTCACCCAGTGTCCTGACGGAGCCTTCGAGGCCTTTCCTGTGCACAACTGGTACAATTTCACACCACTGGCTCGACACCGCACGCTCACTGCTGAGGAGGCTGAGGAGGAGTGGGAGAGGTGAGCTGGCAGGGGCCGGGAGGTGCTTCCCTAGCAGCAGGCCAAGCTGTGCTGGAGTCTGGGCACTTGGCGGACCAAGGCAGTGCCCACCCGCCCACATAGAGCTCTCAGGGAGATATGGACCCTTGGTAGCTGGTGAACCTGCTGCAGGAAGTGGCAGAGCAGCGTGGGGCCAGCTGGCAGCTGTGGGGTTAGCTGCCTTGGTGGGTCTGCTCCACGTGCCACTCCAAGGGGGCCTTTACAAGGGGGCTCAAAAGGGGCCTCCTGATGCAGCCATGGCATTTCTGGCCTTGGAAATGGGGACAGCACAGGTACAGTTGTGGGGCCAAGGATACGGCAAAACAAGCTGGAGCAGAGTGATTGTGGGGAGAGCTGGGAACATGGGCCTTGCAGTCCTAGCTGAGGATCTGACATTCCTGGGTCACTGCAGCCCTGGGGCATCCTTTTGGTGCAGGATGGCGCTGTGGGCATGTCTGCAAAACTCTTGTCTGCGTGTGTCACAGAGTGGCAGGAATGGCCCAAGGAATCACAGCCCTCAAAGGGCAGAAAGACATCCTCCTTTCCTGGCCCCACCTTTGTTTAATCATTTCCTTGAGTTGAAATTTTCACATTGGGCAAAGATTAGCTTAGCTCCAGTCCCCTTCTCCCCTGGGTTAGCCTCTGGCCTGGGATCCTCTGCCCGCTGCTAGCTGCTGTCTGTGCCTTGCTCTGCTTCTTGACCCCCTGAGGCTTTATTGTGGCCCTGGGCAGGCACCCCCTATGGTGCTCTGCTTTCCTCTCTGTTTGTGATCTTGTCTTTAGAATCTGCTTTCACACCTTCCAGGAGAAGAGTTTGTTGTTTTAATGAGTCAAAGCAGGAGGGATATGCCATCTCTGGATCACAAGTTCAATCTGCTTAGTCAACAAGCATGTTGTGCTTCCCTAGCAGCAGGCCAAGCTGTGCTGGCACCTGTTTCATGGGCCAGGCCATGACCTGGCTGTGGCTCCCTGCAGGTTCAAGGGCATTTTTTAAATTGTAAATTGTTATATATGACAGCAGAATGCATTACGATTCATATTACACATATGGAGCACAATTTTTCATATCTCTAGTTGTATACAAAGTATATTCACACCATCGTGTCTCTATACATGTACTTAGGGTAATGACGTCCCTCTCATTCCACCATCTTTTTTACCCTCTTGCCCCCTCCCTTCCCCTCCTAGCGTTCCTCTAATCCTCCCATGCTCCCCCTCCCAACCCCAGCCTCCTATGAATCAGCCTCCTTTTTTTTTTTTTTTTAAGAATATTTCTTTATTTTTTAGTTATTGGCGGACACAACATCTTTGTTTGTATGTGGTGCTGAGGATCGAACCCGGGCCGCACGCATGCCAGGCGAGCGCGCTACCGCTTGAGCCACATCCCCAGCCCCATGAATCAGCCTCCTTACATCAGAGAAAACATTTGGCATTTGGTTTTCTGGGATTGGCTAACTTTACTAAGCATTATATTCTCCAACTCCATTCACTTACCTGTAAATGCCATGATTTTATTTTCTTTTATTGCTGAGTAATATTCCATTGTGTATATATGCCACATTTTCTTTATCCATTCATCTACTGACAGGCATCTAGTTTGTTTATATAGTTTCTTGAGGGCCTTGAGGGCCTCAGGCCAAGGGACTGGGGACACCTATTTTTACTCAGCTTTTTTTTTTTTTTAATTATTATGTTTAAAATTTGTTCTATTTAGACACATGTGACAGTAGAGTGTTACTCATCTTTTTCTGATGTGCAGACAGGCATATTAGAAGCAGAAGTCAGGACATTTGGTCAGCACTCATCAGTCTTATTTATTTATTTATTTTTGCGGGGGCAGGGGCGGGGATCAGGGAATAGAACTCAGGGACACTCGACCACTGAGCCACATCCCCAGCCCTATTTTGTATTTTTATTTAGAGACAGGGTCTCACTGAGTTGCTTAGCGCCTCACCATTGCTGAGGCTGGCTTTGAACTCGCAATCCTCCTGCCTCAGCCTCCTGAGCCACTGAGATTATAGGTGTGTGCCACTGCACCCGGCCTGTTTTGTTTTGTTTTTAAGGATAGTCACACTGTTTAACAATGGTCACCACCAGTCGTCTACAGAATCTTACCATCTTCCCAAACTGAACCCCATCCAACACTAACTCCCCAGGGCCTGGCACCGGCCATGATGTTCTCAGTCTCTGGATCTGAGGGTCCCAGGGCCCCTCTGAGTGGAGTCCCGCAGCGTGCAGTGTGTATCCTTGCGTATTTGGCTTTTTGGTTTTTTTCCTTTTTTTTTTCAATGCTAGGGACAGAACCCAGGGCCTTGTGCATGCTAGGCATGTACGCTGCCACTGCACCACACCCAGCCCAGGGTGTCTTCCATGTTCCCTGAGCATGTTGTCCTTGGATTCATCTGACCTCTACCAGGGCTATTCTCCTTTTTTTTTTTTTTTTTGGTACTGGGAATTGAACCCAGGGGCGTTTAACCACTGAGCTACATCCCCCGCCCCCTCTCTTTTTTAATAATTATGAAAACCTTAAGATTGTGGTTTAAAACATAAAATATCTCGTCACTGTTTCTCAGTGTGTGCTTATGTAGTGTTAAAGGCATTCACCGTGTTGGGACAGGTTCCGTTCCTTCCCCCAGTGCCTGTGAATTGTGCATTCACTGTTGGCTGTAGCCCCTGAGCCCTTCACTAAGTGAAGGGCCGTCATTGGTTGCCATGATCCATGGCGTGGTGTTCCAGTGGAAATGTCACTATGCCCGTCATTAAGAGAAAGAGAAAGGTACCTGTAAAGGATAAGAGGAGTGTAACATGAATACGAGATGGCCAGTCTGTGGCCTGGGAATGGCCCTGTGCCCCAGGGGGCAGACACTCTAGCACCATCCAGACCTTGAGGCCCTCGGGTGGAGAGAGGTGGGCAGCCAGTTCCCTCATGGGATTCCAGTGAGCCCCTTGCTAAGGCAGTGTCTGTGGTACCTGTCACCCCCTGGGTCCTGCACACGGAGGTGCAGGTGCCGAGCCCCTGGTCACCCTGCCTTGCCTTCACTTGGCCCACAGGAGGAATAAGGTCCTGAACCACTTCAGCATCATGCAGCAGCGGCGGCTGAAGGACCAGGACCAGGACGAGGATGAGGAGGGGAAGGAGAAGCGGGGCCGCAGGAAGGCCAGCGAGCTGCGCATCCACGACCTGGAGGATGACCTGGAGATGTCCTCTGATGACAGCGACGCCAGCGGCGAGGAGGGTAAGTGTCGCTTGTGCTGACTGTAGATGGAGAGTGGGCTGATGGGCTGATGTCACCCAGAGAGGCTTGTGGTCATTGTTGTCCTAGAAGGCAGGAGCTGGAGAGCCGAGGCACGGCCTCCACTGGGGCTGAATGACTGGCGTCCCTCACCTGGCTCTGGGTGATTTGGGGCAGTGGTGTGTGAGCCTGGGGCTGCGGGCGGCTCTGGACTGGGCTGCTTGCTGTAAGCGCTGCTCGCAGATCTGCCCTCGCTTCTGGAAGAACTGGCCAGGCCTGGGGGGCCAGTCATCCACTCCCAGGACGTCAGAACATGGTCGAACCTGAAGGACACAGTGGTCCATGGCCTGAGTCCCCTCTGCCCTCCCCCAGGCAGCAGAGCCCCCAAGGCCAAGAAGAAGAAGCCACTGACCAAGGCGGGCAGGAAGAAGAAGAAGAAGAAGGGCTCGGATGATGAGGCCTTTGAGGACAGTGACGACGGTGACTTTGAGGGCCAGGAGGTAGACTACATGTCCGATGGCTCCAGGTGAGGCAGGCGGGAGGCGGGTGTGAGACCCTGGCCGGCCTCCAGAGGCGCCCGCTCACCCTCTGCCCTCCTCTGTCTTACAGCAGCTCCCAGGACGAGGCAGAGGGCAAACCGAAGGTGCCGCAGCAGGAGGACGGGCCCAAAGGTAGGCGGGGGCCAGGTGCTGGGGGCAGTCAGCAGGCAGGGTCCCTCCTGCTCTGCTCACCCGTCCCCTCCCCAGGTGTCGATGAGCACAGTGAGAGCAGCGAGGAGAGCGAGGAGGAGAAGCCTCCTGAGGAGGACAAGGAGGAGGAGGAGGAGAAGAAGGCCCCCACCCCGCAGGAGAAGAGGCGCAGGAAAGGTGGGCTCCCCTTGCCGGCCTCGCGCAGGCCCTGGCGCCCTGCCCCCCACCCCTGCCCCTGGGCCTCCTGCCCTGATGGAAGTGAGGATGGGCAGGGGGTCTTGCTCTGGTCCTGACTCGGCCAAGCTGGCTCCTGCAGACAGCAGTGATGAGTCAGACAGCTCGGAGGAGAGTGACATTGACAGTGAGGCCTCCTCAGCCCTGTTCATGGCGGTAAGTAGCGGTCTGGGGCCTGGGCCAGGCAGGTGTCTGTTTGCAGGCTCATACCCCCCACCTTAACCTCTGCAGAAAAAGAAGACACCCCCCAAGAGGGAGCGGAAGCCGTCGGGAGGCAGTTCGCGGGGCAGCAGCCGCCCTGGCACACCCAGTGCAGAGGGGACCAGCACCTCCTCCACCCTGCGGGCAGCTGCCAACAAACTGGAGCAAGGTGAGCTATCAGCCCCATCTGTGTGCTCCTGAGTCCCTGGGTAGGGTCCACCCTCCACCCCAAGACTCATCCTGACCCTGCTCCCACAGGGAAGAGAGTCAGCGAGGCACCAGCCGCCAAGCGGTTACGGCTGGACGCTGCGCCCCAGAGCCTGTCTGGAAAGTTGACCCCACAGCCGCCTTCCGGAAAGTCCACGCCCTGCAGTGGGTAAGTTGGTTAGGACGCAGGGGCTGGGCAGGGGCCACTGTAGGATCTCGCTGACCCTGACCCTCTGTTCCTCAGTGATGTGCAGGTGACTGAGGACGCCGTGCGCCGCTACCTGACGCGGAAGCCCATGACCACCAAAGACCTACTGAAAAAGTTTCAGACCAAGAAGACGGGGCTGAGCAGTGAGCAGACGGTGAACTTGCTGGCCCAGATCCTGAAGCGGCTCAACCCCGAGCGCAAGATGGTCAATGACAAGATGCACTTCTCCCTCAAGGACTGAGATCTCCCCCTGCCCAATAAAACTGTCCCCTCCAGACCTGCCCACGTCTGCTGCCTGGTTGTTCTGGAGTCCGGTGCCCCTGTGTTAGCAACCACAGAAGTGCCTGGGCAGTGTCCTTCCCCAGTCACCCTCTGGTCCCGCCTCCTGTTGCCTTATAGGCACCTGGAAGACAGGGCTCTCCTGGCAGCTCAGCAGGTGCACTGGGACAGCCCAGTCATAGCAGCTGTGGCTTTGACTGCCTTCGGGGCTTCTGCCTTCAGCCAGGCTCCTGGCCCAAGACCTGGCAAGCGCTCAGTTCCAGTGACTCCACTGTCAGTTGCCCACACTAGTATTTTTGGTTTTCAGATCGACTGCTGTGTTTGGGTGGTGTCCCTGATGTCTTTGATCCCCTCTTGAATTTTAGGTTTTTATTTTAAGCATCCCTACCTTACAGCCTGTTTGACGAGTCTAGAATCTGCAGTTGTGAGCATCTGCAGTGTCCTCTGCTTTCCCTTGTGGATAGGATTTTTCTCAGGTTGTGATTGGGGTGGGGTCCTCGAAGGAGTCTTGGCAGGCCTACTTTTTTTTTTTTTTTTTTTTAATATTTATTTTTTAGTTCTCGGCGGACACAACATCTTTGTCGGTATGTGGTGCTGAGGACTGAACCCGGGCCGCACGCATGCCAGGCGAGCGCGCTACCGCATGAGCCACATCCCCAGCCCCAAGGCCTACTTTTTAAGCAGGTCATTCAAGATGGTTTTACCTTGGCTTCCAAAAGTTACTAGGAGTGCGCCCCTGCCGGTTTTGTGTGTGATTCTCAGCTCAGAGTTCTGTTTGTTTTTTGGTACTGTGGACTGAACCCAGGGCGCTTAACCACTGAGCCATATCCCCAGGCCTTTTTAACTTTTATTTTGAGACAAGGTCTCTCTAAGTTGCTCAGGGCCTAATTTGCTGAGGCTGGCTTTGAACTCAAGATCCCCCCTGCCTCAGCCTTCCGGGCTTCTGTTATTACAGATGTGTGCCACCCTGCCCAGCTCCCCTCAGTCTTTGTCTGCATGGCCACCAGAGCCTCGTGTCCTTTTTTCCTGGCTTTAGCATCTGGGCCTATTTTCAGTTCCCTAGGGGGTTTCTGGGGTGCCCTCTCGCCTTTCAAGCCAGGTGATGCTTTTGCATGTCCAGCCCCACCAGGTTCCCTGCAGGGAGGTTTCTGGACAGCAGTGTGGCTGAGAGGAGATTTGGCTACAGCCACTACCTTTGAACCTGTCTTGCATTGTGGGAAAGAACCAGCCCGCGGTGTGGGTGACAGCCGTGGATGGGTAGAGGGAGAAACCTCCCAGTGTGAGCGAACAGGAACACCTGTTTGCTCTAGGACAGGCCATTGGAAACGTCCAGTGGTGACCCTTCCTGCCCTCCCTGACCGCTTGGCAGGCTCCCTTACTTCCCCGTAGTACGGTTAGTTTTGATCTTTATGCTGACTGGCTCCAAGATGTGCTGCTGGCTTATTCAATGGTGATGGGTAGACATGCCCTACATAAACTGTAGCTCTGCCGCGATAAAACGAGCTCAGCGCCACCAAGCCTGACTCCCGGAGCTTCGTGTGTGTGGACTCCGTTGCTTCACCTCCTCGCGGGACGCAACCCCACCACATCACAACATGGAATGACCTGGCTGAAGGCAGAGGTCAGGCCTCGGTCCTACCCTCAGCTGGAAACTGCAGGTGGAAAACTGCCCCACCCCGTTCTGCAGGCCCCTGGCTGCCTCGAGGGATGCCTGAGATAGCAGGCTAATTCCCAGGAATCCCCCGTGTGGTCCAACTTTCCTCCCGTCCTTCTGCCAGGGTTTTGGGCCTCAGGAGAGCAGCACTCACTCCCTACCCGGGAGGTTCCACCCCTGTCGTTCCTGCTGTGTGTATTCTGACCCAGGGTCCACCTCAGGCCAGGAAGCATCTGAGGGAGGCAGTGTCACCTTTGGTCAGGCTAGAAGCCTGGCATTCTGGGGACCTGGGGCTCAAATCCCAGGTGTAGTTCTGGATGACTTAAGTGACTTTTTTTTTTTTTTTTTCCTGAAAGTAACATAAATATGTACTGCAACAAGAACAACCACAACAATCATGGACGCAGGTCCCTGCGGACCCATGGCTTCCTGTAACCAAGGTGCAGCTAGTATCCCTGGGCTTACAGCTTAGTTCCCAGGTGGAGGAACTCCTGAAGGAGGTTTCCTCAGGTGCTCATGCAAAGAGCTACCAATTTACGCTCCCAATGGTGGGGTGCAGCATCTCCAAGCTTTAACCTCTCCTCTGTGTGGGACCAGGCACCTCCTCACACACAGTGAAGCTATTTGTAATCTCCTGCCTCAAAAGCTCTGGGCAGAGGGCTGGGACTGGGGCTCAGCGGTAGAGGCTCGCTAGCACGGGTGGGACCTGGGTTCCATCCTCAGCACCGCATAAAAATAAAGGGATTGCGTGTGTCCATCTACACCTAAAAAATAAGTATTAAAAAAAAAAAAAAAGCTTTGGGCACCTCCACAGCACTAAACACCGAACACTCACACCAGGTCCCCTGGGTGCGAAGGCCCCAGAACCCATGCCTCGCCATGACTTCCTGCTGGCTTCACCTTGGACCTGGAAGTCTAGCTCCCCTTGGCTGATGCTCTCAGGTCCCAGGACAGGGCTGCAGTTGGGCCCTCAGGTTTCCTTCCAAGACAGGAATCCCTGCCCCGTGTCCCATGCTTGGCCATCCCCAGCCTCTCCCTTTTCCTGTTTTGATGCTGGCTGAGCCAGGCCCRGAGACAGGGGCATGATGTCTTAATCCTTCAGGAGGAAGCCATGCTGGAAGATTCCCCTTGACCTGACCACCTGCCAAGCCGCCTTCCCAGCACTCAACATGGGGGTTCCTGAACTAGACAGCAGGGGCAGCAGGGACACTGGTTGTCCACACTGGGCTCGGGCCTGGCTTCCAGCATGACTCGTAAATCAGGGGGCGACGGGGGTGTTGGAAATGGGTCTGTGGAATGTCTGGATGGGGTGGGGTGGGGGTGCGCCCTTAACTCTTAGAAGGACGGGTGTGGGGCAGAGGGAACTGACGCCTAGAGCTGAGGACTGGGGGACCAGCTGTGCAGGACGCAGGCGAGGAAGAGGTTATTTCCCTGCCTGGCAGGCAAGGGATAAATTCGAGGCACAGGGCTCCCCAGCCTCAGGACCCGCCTGACACAATGGCCACGGGGAGAGTCCTGCTTGGCTTTCTGCTGCTCCTATCACTACAGCTGGGCATCAGCCAGAGCCCTGACACTCAGGGGGCTCCTGTGGCAGAGAAAGAGTTCTTGTCTGAGCGGACAAGAGATGCTGGAGGGACCTGCAGGCCGACACTGGGTAAGAAACCCCAGGGACCCCAGGTGACTTCCCAGCTCCTTCAGGCTGAGAACTGGCCCTAAACCATGCCCCTTTTTTCCCTAGACACTCACCACCCCCATGCCCGCTTACGCCGAGCCCCAGCCAGCCCCTGCCAACTGTGGAGCCTGACCCTACCCGTGGCGGAGCTGGGCCTGGGCTATGCCTCCGAGGAGAAGATCACCTTTCGCTACTGTGCTGGCAGCTGCCCCCGCGGAGCCCGTACCCAGCACGGCCTGACGCTGGCCCGACTGCGGGGCCAGGGCCGAGCCTTTGGTGGGCCCTGCTGCCGGCCTACCCGCTATGCTGATGTGGCCTTCATTGATGACCATCACCGCTGGCAGAGGCTGCCCCAGCTCTCAGCAGCTGCCTGCAGCTGTGGGTGAGAGTGCCCAGCCCAGAGCTCCGGTTCCCTGTGCATGGAGCTCTGGAGGAGCTGGGTTCATTTATTTATAGGAGCCTGGAAGCAAGAAGACAAGAAGGGGTGGTGGGCTGGGTGCTGGCAAAGAGCACAATAAAGAATCTGCTTTCCTGGCCTGGTGACTGTGTGCTAAGCCGGCATGCTCCTAACTGCCACCCTGGCAGCCCTGAGCTTCCCCTGCAGGGGCCAGTCTCAGGAGACAGCAGAGCAAGGAGGCTGCTGTCCCTTCTCCAACTTTATTCACAAATCTAGAGTCTGGGTAAAACAGGAATGGACCTGAGGGTCAGCAGGCTGGCGGTGGCTGTCCAGGTTGCCCTGGTCCCAGCCCCTCAGGGAGAGAGCGGCAGATCACAGAGATGCGTCGGCTCCGTGGAATACGCCGATCCCCAAAAAATGACTCTTCATCCCGAAGAATCTCATGAGAGAAGTCATAACGGGCTGAGCCCCTGCAAGAGAAAAGAAGGCTATGAGTTCTAGGTAGACCAGGGTTCCAGTCCCCCTGCAGCCCTCAGGCCCGCCCTGGGGTAATGGCAGTCCCTCCTGTGAAGGCCAATGAGAGAAGGGGCAGTACGCTGGTGGGGTGGGGCTCTTTGGCTGGATGCACCTTAGGATATAGAGGGAACCAGGCTCCAGCAACAGTTCCAGCCACTGCCCTGGCTCCTGGGTGTGCACAAGCCGCATGACACTGGGAGACAGTAGGGACAGGCCAGCGATGGTGGCTCCACAGAACTGAAAGAGGCAGCATGGTGGTGGGTCAGACTCTGGCCTGGCCTGTCCACCCCAAGCTGGGAACTCCCAGGTGCTGGCTTCTGCCCACCTTGACACTGTCGACATGGGGCTTGATGTAGCCCTGAGGTTCCAGGTCTAGCACATGCACCCGGGACAGCAGGGTCTGGCCAGGGTCAAAGGCAGCTGACTGCACACGCTGCAGGATGGCCTGGCTGGCCTCTGACCAGCGCGACTTCTCTGTCTCCCGGAAGCCGTGGATGGCCTGCACAGAAGAGCTCCCAGAGAAAATAAGGAAACTGAGGCACAGAGGGACAGAGTCCAGAGCTAAGGACTGGTTTTTCCCAGCATGACCTTTATCCCTGCCCTCCACTCACAATCCCATCCCTAACCTGGCCCCTGCCTCAATGAAGGCCTTAGCTGGGTCTCACTGATACTGGAACCCTCTAACCCAGGCCCCATCTAGATCTGACCTCAGGCTCCAATGCCAGGTCCCCAATGCCGACAGCCCCATCCCAATATCCATTGTTTCTGTCTCCACCCTCAACCTGATCCCACCCAAGACCCTAGTCTGTCCCCAAAAACTGACCCTCCCTCACCTCCTCCATATCCATTTCTGACCCTTGGTCCCAAATACCCCTTAGCTCCCGATCTAGTGAGGACCCGGCTCTCATTTTCAAAGAGCTCTTGCTGTTCCCAGGTTCCCATTCCCCAGGTTCCCATTCCCCAGGTCCCACCCCTCTGCAGAAATTCTCACCCCCGCCCACCCCTCGCATCTCGGCCCCAGAGCCTCAGACCCCAAACCTGTTCTAGGCCCGCCCCCAGCTGATCCCGGGCATTCGAGTGGCTTCCCTGTCCCCGCCCCTTATCCTCAGCCCCGCCCAGATATGGCCCCGCCCCCGACGCGGACCCGGGCCCCGCCCGCCTCACCGCGTCCCAGTGATCATATTCGTAGCGGCGGCGGCGCAGCTCAGGCTCCAGCTCGCGGCTCAGCGTCTCCTCCTCGTCCTTGCTCAAGAAGCCGGGCTGCACCACGGCCGAGTCCTGCAGGCGTCTCAGCACCGCCGGGCCCGAGCCCCGCACCCAGCCCGACCCCGGCAGCGTCCGCAGCGCCAACCTCCCACTCCCGGCCATGGTCCTGGAGCCGGGTCACGGAGGAAGCCGGAGTTCAGGGCAACGCCCTCGCCCTAGAGCCATTGGCTGTGTCCTCTCCAGTCTCCTGCAGCGATTGGCTTTCCCCACGGCCCCGCCTCTTGCTCAAGGCTATTGGTTGCCGCTGCCTCGCCCTGTCCAGCTATTGGCTCTCCTGAGCGCGCCTCCTCTCCACCGCCGTCGGCCCGGCGACCTCGGTAGCTCGGGTTGTATTGGCTGCACCGCGAGTCCGTCTGCCGCCGCTTCTCGGCCCCGCCTCTTTCATTGGCCATGGGAAAAGGTCCAACTGAGCTGGTTCTTGGCCGGGATCTCGTAGGAAGGTCCAGAGAGGTTCTGGCCTGGCTTTCAAGGTAGGAGGATTGAGCCAAGGTCGAGGTTATGGAGATAGGCAGGCACAGGGGTTAAGTGCAGGGGTGAGAGGAAGGGTCAAGAGTATAGGAATCTAGCAGGCTCGGTGACGCACGCCGGTAATCCCCTCAGCTCCGGAGGCTGAGGCAGGAGGATCGCGAGTTCAAAGCCAGCCTCAGCAACATCAAGGTACCCAGCAACTGAGTGAGACGCTGTCTAAATAAAATACAAAATAGGGCTGGGGATGTGTCTCAGTGGTCGAGTGCCCCGAGTTCAATCCCCAGCAAACCCCCCCCCCCAAAAAAAAAAGTGTTTATGGGATGGGGCCAAGTTTGCGGTTAGGGAGTTGTGAAAGGTCAAAACCAGATGTCATTCATTTCCCCTTGAGAAGTACTGATTTTTGTTTAGGTTTGAATGTAGCAGTGTAGTTGTTTTTCAAAGATTCCTTCGATTATCACGACCCTCTAGATTTTAAAAAACAACCCTGTTTCTCCCTCCAGCTACATACCCTGGACTCTGTTCCCTTTACGCTAAAATCCCTGTAAGACACCTATTGCTGTTTTCCTCTCATTTTTCCTGGATCCACTGTAGCCTGGCTTTTGGTCCCCACAGCATCTAAAGTGCTCTGATTTATGGCCACCAGCAACATCCCCAGTGCCAAATCCACAGCCAGCTCTCAGTCGGGCACCTACTTCATCTGTACACTGATGGCTTCTACATCATTTCAACCCTGACCCTGGGATGCAGAGGCAAATCAGATACCAACCATAACACATTTCCTGCTGCTCCCTCAGCTTCCCACCTCAGTTAACAGATCTCCCCTTTTGGAACTGCTTTGGGCCAGTAGCTTGGTTTGCAGACTGCTCTCACTTCTCTCTGGTGAGCTCTGCCTTTAAATCCTATCTAGAGTCTGACTACATCCTGCCACCCCATTGGAGCCACCATTAATCTCCATCTGGATTATACCAAATCCTAAATGGGTTCCAGAGTTTTGTTTTGCTTTTCCGCAGCACTGAGCTTCAGGCATACGCTACTGCTCAGCCACACCCCAGCCCAAGTTTCTGTTGTTGCTAAGCTCTACCCATGGCTCCTGGGGGTCAGCCATCCTTTTCATCCCTCTTCTCAAACCTTCCATCACTCCCCATCCTTTTTTTTTGGGGGGGGTGGGTAGTGTTGGGGATAAAACCCAGAGCCTCACACATGCTAGACAAGTTCTCAACCACTGAGCTACATCCCCAGCTCTTTTTATCTTCTGAGATAGGTCTTTCTAAATTGCAGAGGCTGGGCTTCAATTTGTGACCCTCCTGCCTCAGACTCCCAAGTTGCTAGGACTAAAGGTCTGCAACACCATGCTTGGCTTATCTCCACTTCTTTATTTGGTGGGCAGGTACTGGGCCCTTGACCACTGAGTCACATCCCCAGCCTATTTTATTTTATTTTTTGCCTTTATACATGTACTTTTTTTTTTTTGCATTACAATTCTTATTGCATTACAATTTGAACCCAGTGCCTCACACATGCTAGGCAAGCGCTCTACCACTGAGCCCCAGCCCAGCCCTAAACACATTTTTTTTTAAAAGTAGTTGATTTCTTTTTTGGAGTTGTCAATAGACCTTTATTTAATTCATTTTATATATACCACAATTTTTGAGTTGCGTGGCGCCTTGCTGTTGCTGAGGCTGGCTTTGAATTTGTGATCCTCCTGCCTCAGCCTCCCCAGCCGCTGGGATTACAGGCGTGTGCCACCAAGCTGGCTCATTTAACATTCTTAACACCCTGAGACAGTAACTGCTTTTTCTTCTGATTGTAATAAGGAAACAGACGGTCAGGACTAAAGCAACTCACCCCAGGTCAGATATCTAGAAAGGGACAGAAGGAGGCAAGCCACGTCGCCTCTGAGCCTGCTTCTCACCATGAAATGGGGCAGTGCTTGTTGCTCCTTCCCAGGATCCTTGTGAACATGCAGTGGCCAGCTGCGGTGCTTCTCCAGCAAGAGAACTTGGCCACACAGGGCAGCGCATGCAGCTGCGTGGCAGGCAGGGACTCCTTCGGAACTCTCCCTCACTGCAGGGCTGCCTCAGAGCTGCTGACTGATGCTGCAATTTTTTGGGGGGGGGGGGTTGAAGCCAGGGATTGAACTCAGGGGCACTTGACCACTGAGCCACACCCCAGCCCTATTTTGTATCTTAAAGACAGGGTCTCACTGAGTTGCTTAGGGCCTCCATATTGCTGAGGCTGGCTTTGAACTCATGATCCTCCTGCCTCAGCCTCCTGAGCCACTGGGATGACAGGCGTCACCACCGCGCCTGGCTTGTCCGATGCTTCTGGACACAGTCTCTCTGTTGGACCAGCTAGACTGTGCCACAGGAGGTGCCTCCTCTGGCCTCACCCTTTACACAGGCGGCCCTTCCCAGCAGATGGCGTCTCCTTCCCCTTTGCTGGAGGCTTCCAAAGTTTCCCTGGTTAAATAAAAGTATTAAGCCTCATAATTGTGGTGTTGGTTACACAAACCTGTACGCGTGATGAAATCACATCTACACCCTCAGCCAGGCTTGCAGAGCTGTTGAAATCTGAATGCAGGCTCCAGATCATATCAGTCCAACGTCCTGGTTTTGAAATGATATTGTTCTGTCACATGTCACCACTGGAGAAGCCGCACACAGGGTACTGGGACTGCTCTGCTCTACTTTTTTTTTCTTTTTGGTGCTGGGGATTGAACCCAGGCCCCACCCGCACTAAGCATGTGCTCTACCACCGAGTGGCACCCCAGCTCCCGCACTATCATCACACCTTCCTGCAAGACTGTCATTATTCCAAAATAAAAAGATTTTTTTTTGGAGTTGTCAATAGACCTTGATTTTATTTATTTTTATATGTGGTGCCGAGGGTCGAACCCAGGGCCTCACACATGCTAGGCAAACGCTCTACCACTGAGCCCCAGCCCAACCCTAAACAGATTTTTTAAAAGTAGTTGATTTGGGGCTGGGGGCGTGGCTGGGTGGTAGAGCCCTATGTCAATCATGCTTGAGGCCCTGGGYTCAGAAAAAAGGTTGATTTACATTCCCTTCCTTCTTTCTGTACTGGGATTGAACTCGGCAACACTACCACTGAGCCATATCCCCAGCCCCACTTTTTAATATTTATTTTTTAGTTATAGGTGGACACAGGATCTTCATTTTTTATATGGTGCTGAGATCAAACCCAGGGCCTCACACATACTAGGTAAGTGCTGCACCTCTGAGCCCCAGCCCCAGCCCCAGCCCCTTTTATTTTATCTTGAGGCAGGGTCTTGCTGAGTTGCTGGGCTGACCTTGACTTACCATCCTCCTGCCTCCTGAGTCTCTGGATGACAAGCATGGATGTTTTTAGTCAACGTGGGAATGGAGAAACGAAATGTCACCTCTTTGCACAATGGAACATTACTCAGCCTTTACAATCAGGACAAAAATCCTGGCACCTGTCCCAACAGAAGAACCTTGAGAACATTATGCTATAATGCTGTGTTTTCATGTTTGGAAATTTGAACGATTCGAATGAAAATAACAGTACACGCAACTGGTCATGTGAACAGGGACCACACATGAGCAGAGGACTCCAGAATGTCACCAGCTGAGCAGCCCTGGCAACTGCAAGCACTTCCTTGTCCAGAAAGGAGGACTGAGGACAGGAAGGACCAAGGCTGTCTCTGGCCCAGTGTGGGGCCCGCGCCAGTCCTCCCAGCTGCTCAGGAGGCTGAGGCAGGAGGACCGTGTGACCCAGGCGTTTGAGGCCAGCCTGGACAACCTGGCAAGGCCGCTCAAGAGGGAAAATGTGCAATCCAAGATCTCCAGTGAGTCTAGAAGATTTGATCTGGCCACACCTCTGATTGCAGCCACATGTGGTCAGGACAGGTGACCTCAAACTTCCAAGAAATCCCTCACATGGGCTTCTAATGTGGGTTAACTCTGTGGCTTATCTGGAAAAGTTTTGTTTAATTATATTTATTCATTCTTATTTGTTCTACTTAGTTGTACATGACAGCAGAATGCATTTCAATTCATCATACACAAATGGAGCTCAACATTTCAATTCTCTGATTGAACACGGTGTAGAGACGCACGATTCGTGCAGTCATACATGTACCTAGGGTAATGATGTCCATCTCATACCACCATCTTTCTACCCTCATAACCTCTCCCCTCCCTCCCCTTTGCCCAATTCAAAGATCCTCTGTTCTTCCTGCGCCCCTCCCCCATTATAGATCAGCATCCACTAAGCAGAGAAAACTTTGGGCCTTTGGTTTTGGGAGATTGGCTTACTTTGCTTAGCATGATATTCTCCAACTCCATCCATTTACCTGCAAATGCCATAATTTTATTCTCTTTTCCTGCTGAGTAATATTCCTCTGTGTATATTTTACCAGTTTCTTTATCCATTCATCTATTGAAGGGCATCTAGGTTGCTTCTACAGTTTAGCTATTGTGAATTCCGCTGCCATAAACATCGACATAGCTGCGTTACTATGGTATGCTGATTTTGAGTCATTTGGGTATAGGCTGAGGAGTGGGATAGCTGGGTCAAATTGTGGTTCCATTCCAAGTGTTCTAAGGAATCTCCATACTGCTTTCCAGATTGGTTGTACCAGTTTGCCGTCCCCTCAGCAATGTATGAGTGTGCCTTTCTCCCTACATCCTCTCCAACACTTACATTGCTTGTATTCTTTT